AGCATTTCACCTGTACATTTATACAGGTTAACCTGTCTGCCGACCCAAGACAACCTGCATTGACAGTGTTTTAAATTTACGGTCCCATTGGTAACTGCAGTATATCGTGCCTTTCAGATGTGCTCTGCTGCTCTTCAGACTCGTTTGTCTTCCACTGTGGATTGCTGGGTTCCAAACTAGGACTGGTTTGGGGATTGTCCCTCCACAGCCTGGAGAATACAGCACAGCATAGGCTGCGATCAGCTCCATGTTTTCAGACTCTCTTCACCTATGGGGGGGGGTGTTGCCTGTTTTTAATAGAAATTTAGGTGTTTTAGAAGTTAGCGACAGCCAGTCAGGAAAAGGGCAACAAGGAATGGTGCATTCATCATCTCTTGACATCCGTCTTGTCATACTAAGAGAAATATGCAACCCGCAGGATTTGAAGCATGGAGTAGGTGTGATGTCTCCAGTATAACAAACTGCTATCTCTTTCTTAAGAATTGACTTTATGTGATTTTTTTATTAAACCATGAGATGCCTACTAGGATGAAAAGCAAAATGTTTTCGCTGCAGAATTTCTGCTGACATACAGGGGAAAATTCATTCAAGGAGAGCATTGACTGTATTTTCAAGAGACTTACCAATTACTTATTTATTGATTAAGTATGGGTTTGGTAGGAAAATATCAATACTAGCAAGTATTTTTTTACTTTTAGGTTAGGTTTCATTTATGGCCTGTTCCAGCTGCACTGAACAGTCTTATTCACTAGCTGGAGAATAGAAGTAAGCACTTGACCTGACTGTGTAGATTTTAGGCATTTTCTTGGATTTTAAAATGAAATTTTCACAGAAGGGACTCAGTATCCGGAAGGAAGGCAAATATTTTTCAGTTTTACTTTAATATGTAAATTAAGAAATAAAATTGTAGTAATGTAGAAAATAAATAATAAAACTTTGGATTAAGAATTCTCTCAGCTTTCAAATATTTGTCTGTGAAAAAATCTCTTCTGTCATCTAGTATTTCATTTTCTTTTTGAAGAAGTGAATATATTCCAGGTTCATAAATCTCATTAGAATTAATTTTCCACGCTTTTTATTCATTAAAAGATATTATTTATGTACATCAAAAAGTAGAAAATGACAAAAAGTCTGCTGATTTATGAAATACTAGAAGCTTTATTATTATACTATTATTCTTGAAGAAAAATCAATCATGGTGTTTCTTGGATTTTACTTACCTGCAAGTTGTTCCATGTATTCATCTTCTCACAATAAGTTTTACCCAGGCTTGAATTTGAGCATCTGCTTATCTTTAAAGCTTTCTTGTGCTACGTTGACTATCCCTATAGTCTGCCAGATTGCAGAGCAGGTCATAGTATTACTACACCAGCTGACCTGGCTGCAAGTCAGGCACATGCAGTTATGATACTGCAACAGCAAGCCTAGGAGAAGCATCTGGACCGAGAATTTAGAAAACAGCAGCAGTGTAATGTTTTCTTTAGAATTCAGTTGCAGCGTGTGCTTCACCTTTCAGAACTGGAAATTTAAAGGAAGCTCTTTAGAGCAGAACCTTTCTTTTTCATCTTATGCCTGCCTGTGTGTGCAAGTATGTGTGTGTGTACAAGTCTGCATCTTTGCACTCCCCTTACCAAGCCATCTCCAGTATTCAGTGGGATTCCTGAACCCCATGCTGAAGGTGGGTGGATGCCAGGAGAGCTGTAGGGTGGCTGGTGCAGCATAGACAGCTGTGTGCCTGGGATTGCCCCTGCAGCTGCAGGAAGCAGTGCAAGTCCTGGGGCAGTCCTGAAACCCTCCCCAAGCCAAGGGAAGGCAGGTCCCAGTGTGAGCTTGTAAATTATAAGAAATCTGGAAATAACTTCTTTGCTTTCCTTTCTAATGCTAGCTATGCTAATATTATTAGCAATGTGGGAGTACATGTAGGAAAGAACACACTCTAGAATCTTCTAACTAATTAGGAGTTTGCTGGTTGGCGTAAGTAATGAATTGTGAGTGAGGTGATACATGAAGTAGTTTGATTTTTAACCCACAAAGAGTAACATAGGATTGTCTTAACTAGAGAATAGAGACTGACCTTGATGCAGTTGCGTGTTGGATTGGTAATGAAGTCCCAGGGTTGTTCTGATATTGGGCATTTCAATAATACTCCAGTGGGATTAGTCTGTAATAATAATGCCAAAGCAATGCAGATGAGTAAACATGTAATATATAGTATTATAAGAACAGTAATCATGTGCGATTTAAGAAAGCAAAGATGAAAACCAGAGAGAGAGGGGTATCAAATGGACCTGGTTCAGAGCCCTTCCAGGGATAACAGTCTCTTATAAGCAAAACCAGCTTAGGTAGTTTGATTTCTTCCTGATATGATTATGTACAACAAAAGCTACAAAATCCTTCAGAGCAACAAACCTAATGAAAATACTGTGCATGCCTAGATGACCTTATCTGTCAGTTAGCAATGAGCCTTTCACACCACACTTCCCTTGCAGTGTTGGTGCATCTTTCCTTTCTGCCTACCAAGGAAAAGTGTCTAGAAGTCGCTGTTCTGTTGGCAGAGGTATACAGAAATTTGTCAGAATGGTGAGCAGGAAGGAGCCTGGTCATCACTTTCCATATCAGTAGTTGAAGGGAATTGTAAAACTGTTAGCCAGCTTAAAATACTGCATGGATCATCTGTTCCACATGTCACTTCAGGCAGCAGAGTATTTCCCAGAATTGGATTGAAAACTCAGAACCTATATAAAAGATCAAAGCACATGACAGTATTGTGCTGTGGCAAAAGATTAGGCATGTGCAATGCATTGTTGATGTTCCACATACACATTCTGGCAAAATATTCATTAAAAAAAATAAAATCTTAAATGGTTCCTGAGAACCAGATTGCACTACTGAGAAGTAAAAAGGAAGGATTCCGTGTGGGAGATGGAGTGAGAGGAGAATTCTCCTTTTGACTCCAGATCTCACAATTGAGTAAACTCTGTAATGTGTCGCTCAGTAGCAAAGCTCGTCAGGTTTCATCATGGGTGCATGATGCAACATATACAGTATACAGTATATATATAAATATACAGTAATTTTGGTTTCAATAAGTACCATGTCTAACTCTTGTGATCCTTATGAATACTTACAGGTTTTTATAAAACTGAAAGCAGCATTTTGGCCTCTCTACAGCTATGTAACATATCTGCATGTTCAGATGCAGGTAATCACATCTGTTCTTTCTGAGCTCTTAAGAAGGCCAGATGTGAGTAAACATTGTGGAATCTCAACAGCTTCCAAATGGTACCCAAATGGTGGTTTGGTGTCAGCCAAGTTGAAGAATGCAGCAGGTAACTATGCTGCTGTCTGCTTCTGACAACCCATGCTGCTGACTGAATACACTGCAGAATTTTGTCTTAATAGAAGCTTTATAAGCATAGAAGAATTCTTGCCCAAGCACTTAAATCATGCTGTATAATGATAAAAATGTGAATAACTGAAGTGGGATCATCATCAGCTAGAATGGAGATGGCCTGACAGCCACCTGGAAAGGAGCAGGAACATTGCATGGCATGATTCTACATTGGAAAAAGATTCAGTAGTTAACTCCATTAAAAGTACTACCAAGGATTACAGGACTGTCCACCAGGACTGGAGGCTCTTCTGAATGCTTTCCTCTGTCTGCCACCATTTCCTCAAATACAGAGGCGATGGTGGTAGGTTTGGCAATTCTTGTTCTGAGCAGCCATTCTTCATATAAAGGTGAAAATGTATTAGGTCATCTTGTCAGTCATGTGAAAAGATCTTGGAAGAGCCTTGCTGGTGTTTGTATAGTGCTACTTCTAGATCTTACTGAAGAACATTTGAATATATACAAGGAACTCGCTTGTTTTTTGGGTGGATTTTAGTCTTTAAATCTTAAGCCAGCACAGCAAACTTCTAGTGCGGTGCAGGCATACTGTTTATTTACAATGCAAATATGATATTTTTAACTGACCAATTCACCTGAAAGCTGCATATTGATACTCAAAAGGACCAGAAAGATGAATGGTCCTTCTAGAATTTTAATGGATCTTTAGGATTTTGTGCATTTTTCCAGAATACCTGAGCAGCTGGTGGTTTTAATGGGTCTCCTCTGACTGAAAACAGTGGATATGAGATATGATTGCCTCGTGGCTTTCCAAACAGTTGCAGTCCTGCAGGAACTGTGCATATGTAGATTATCTTATCCATCCATGTACAATAAAGGCATCTCTTTTTGAAAGTTTGAGGCTTTTTGTTGCAGGTGACCTTCATTTGTTGATGTCTGTGGGATTAACTTAGCATTTTCCAATTATGCTAAATGGAGAAACTGCAGAAGAGGGTGTCTCAGACAGCATGTGAGGGAAATTTTATATATACTTACCACTATGAAAGCCCTTCACCTACTTTGTACCTGTTCTGCAGAGATTGCAGAGAGTTATAGTGGAACTATATATGTGTAAGAATAAGGAATAAATCCGTTAAGATCTGATATATTTCTGTCTGGATTCTTGCTATGTTCAATCGTTTTTATTAACACTGACACCTACTAGTGGCCTCAAAATGAGTCTGAATCTAAAATTATAGTTTTGTTATATCTTTGCATCTTTTACCCTTCTGTTTATTCAGTTGAAGTACTTTATAAAACACAGAGGTCAGAGGGAGAGAGCAGAAAATGAGAAAAGATAGCCTTCTTAAAATGCGAAACAAGTACCTTAGTTATAAGCATTGCCAGGCTTTGTATTTATTGGCTCTATATAGGATACCAGCATATTGGTATGGTTTTTAATAACCTTTTACAGATCATATGTCTCAAGATTTATCTGTATGCAGACCTTTGCGCACAGTACTTGTGAATTGTAACATAAAGAATCTCCAGATGTACATGTTATTTCTTATTAACGCAGAATGATTTTCTAGGGAAGTAGATGACATATTAGAAAGGCAACATCTGTGCTATTACTTAAATCTTAATAATGTCAATAATTTTCTTTCAACAGAGGAATTCAAGGGCTCAACAATAGTTGAATTAATGAAAAAAGAAGGCACCACCCTAGGGCTTACAGTATCGGGGGGTATTGACAAGGATGGGAAACCAAGAGTATCTAACCTTCGCCAAGGAGGAATCGCTGCTAGGTAACCACATCTCAAGCCACAAAATGCATTATAAGATGTGATTGCTTCGAAAATATGTACCACATCAGAAAGGTCACTAAAAAATATGTGACTGGATGCATCTATAATGGCAGCCCATCACACTGGAGAACCTCGTAGGGAAATGGCAACAGCTGGTCCTCCTCTTTACTCTAGGCTACTTTGATAAAAACTAGAAATACCAATGAGATATTTGGAAGTCATCATGAGACTAATGATATTTATTCTAAATTATATATGTTTTATTTCTCTATTTTTTTGTCCTTGAACAAAAATTTGGGAGAAGTAGCATAACGTACTGCAGGGAAAAAATAAAATGGAAAAACTAAGGGTAGTCCTACTGTAATTTATTTATTTTTTTTAACTGTTCATCAGCTGGTTTTAAGATTAAAAACTCTAAATTCATAGCTACCTTGGCTACTACTACAGTGGAAAGAAAAAGCTGTTATTCATGAGTGAGACAAGTTGAAATATAAAGGTTGAGCTGAAGCACTCCAAGTAACCAAGCAGAACATATGCTTTTGGGCTGTGGCCTGTGTCCTGTAGCTGTGATGTTAACTGCAAAGGCAACCACTGTTTTGGACACTTCCCAAAGAGAGAGAGAGAAAGATAGGGACATGAAGAAGATGACTTCCCAGATCCTGTGTCCAAACCAGTCCCATCATCCAACTGCTTTATTGTATAGCTGGTTTTGTACCTCAGAAATTAATAATGCAACAATGTTCTTCTTTTAGTATTTAACAAGACAGATTGGATTATGATCTTAAAATGCCACTTTCTGTTAGAAAGTTCAATTTATTTTAATCCAGATTAATGGAAAAAGTATTTCTTACCGTCACTAAACGGTACTTTTAAAGGATTTAGTTTGGTCCAGAAGATCTGTCTTTAACGAAAGTAATATATACTTTTCCCTAGGAGTGACCAGCTGGATGTAGGCGACTACATTAAATCTGTGAATGGAATCAACCTGACCAAATTTCGCCATGATGAGATCATCAGCCTGCTCAAGAATGTTGGTGAAAGGGTTGTGTTAGAAGTGGAGTATGAGCTGCCTCCAGTCTGTAAGTAATCGCAGAGCAAACTGAAACCTATGCAGAATAGCAGATGTTGTCAGCAGTGAGATGGGCATGGTTGATGACAGCCATTTTGGTAATGATTGGGTTTTTATGTTCTATTTTTATTTTTTTCTGTGGCTTATTGCAGTGTCTTGAAGCAGTAGAAAAGAAATGGCAGTACAGGGGGATGCTTTCAGATGTTTTAAAAGCATGAATCCCACCAATGACAGAGCAGAGTTGTCAATCTCCACTATTTTATTTTTTTTGTTTGCTTGTTTGCAATTTTGAATACTGGAAATCAGTTTGGGTAGATTCTGTGGCAAGAAAATCCTTCTTGTTACAGTAAGATCTTCTAACATGAGACTAGTGAATATCTGCTAGTTCTGCCTCTGCCTTTTCCTTGTGTCTCTTCACTTGCAGCACCCTTCCTCTCTCCCAGATAAACAACATCCTTTGGGACTTTTCAGTCTTTTCTGATGTCACTTTCAGGCAACATTTCATTTCTAGAGCAGAAGACCCAGAGAGGGGTAGGCCATGAGGATACATAAACTTGCAAGAATTGTGTGACTGAAACAAGAGCTTTCACTGAGCAGGATTTTCTTCAAAATATAAATTTATGCTGACGCTAAAGTCACAGAATGCTACTGAATGTTTTCCTTGCCTCTGCTTTGCTATTTCTTATGTGCTTATGTCTAAAACAGTGTGTCTATAGGAGAAAATCAGTGCGAATCGAGTCTATCAGGAATGAAGTGAAAGCTAGAGAAACAGAGAGTTGGAAACCTGGGACCTAAAGTGAAGGAGTGAGTGTCAGGTGGCTTCCTGGCACCAAGGAGCTGCATCAGTCACACCTTTAAAAGGGTGTGTGCTCCTTCATGCTGCTCACTAGAGGGGAGAAGATGCAGTTTGCTGGTGTTTGGCCAGAAAAATCTGGAGTCAACTAGGAAGTTCATGCTCCCTTAAGTAACGAGTTTCATTGTAATAGAAGCCAAAAAATCCATCACTCTCTTCAGTATTTAGAAGATGATGACCTCCCCACAACTTTCTAGCAGCTGGAGGGTTAGTCTAATTACATATTTGGTGGTTTGTATGACCTCCTGACAACCATCTTAATATGTTTTGAATGTTCTGTTTAGTGTTTGCTTGTGGTAACAGAACTTCATGTTCTAAAACACAGAATCTGAGTTAATGAAGTTAGCCGAGTTCTGAGTTACTTTGCTGCAGATGTATTTGTTTTACCAGCATTAATTGGTTTGCATTTATTCAAGTGGGCTTCCTTTTGTTTCATCCCCTTTTAGCATATGTGCCACTCTTGTCCACTGAAACAGGATTTTGACATGCTAAATTACAGTACAAATTGTAACTTTTTTTTAAGTCCTTGGAATTTCCAAGGACTTGGAATACACAAGTCCTTGGAAAGTCCTTGGGTAGATAATGGAGATAATTAGCAATCTAGTTGTTTCCATTAACTTCTAGTGAACAGGCTAGACACAATGCTTTCGTTACACACAGAAGGTTTCTGGTAAGTCATGTGGTGAAGTCCTGGCATCTCCTTCCTGGCCCCCATATGTAATGAAATTCTACTGTTGTTATGGTTGCCTCCTCAGAGAAAGGACTATCATGGTTTCAGCATGGGGAAATGTCAGTCATTTAATAATGATGAATTAAATTTGGTTTAGCACTGGTAATCTCCCTCTCCCTAGTGCTTCTTTCCATGCCTGGAAATGGTCACAGCAGCTAGTTTCAGCACGAGCCACCTCAGTGTTTAAAACAGGATTACCTGTCTCACACCTGCCTTTTGCTGTTGGTAAGGGTTAAGGACTTCTTTCCAGTACCAGGCTGAGGCTGGGGTGGAAGGACAGCCACCTGCGTGGCTGTTGCCCAAGTGGAAGGATGCTACATACCAGTCCTTGCTGCTGAACTGTAGGTTTTGTCTGTCCTCAGTGGAGGTTACAGGCCACAGCAAACAGAGCAAGAAACACGGATTCATCTTGAGCTACACGCGAGGCCGCTTCCTGTTGATAGGAATGAAGGCAAGAGTTGTCTACTCCTCCCCATAATTCAGTCCTTTTCAGTCAGTAAAGTTTTTCTAGTTGAAAAGGAAACAACCACATGGACTCAGTAACACAGTCCTGATCTTCAATCTGTAGCAGGAATTACTGCAGCACAGAGCAGCGCTTGGAAGGGCCATATTTCATCTGCTTTCTTAAGGAAATGAGATTTATGTGATTTCACTGTGTGGTTCTCCTGGGTCCCTGCAGTAACTTTTTTACTGGGATTGAAAAACTTTAAAAAAAGTACATTACAGTACATGTCCTGGAAATAGACACTTGAGCAAGTCCCTGAGTAGGGGAGTCCTCAGAGAGAGAGGCACACAGTGCCGAGGGGGCACCACTCTTCTGGCACCTTTCATGGCTGGCAGCACATGCAGGGTAGCCTGTGGTGTCCATTTTCCCTTCAGGGTGTCCTGACGGGGAAACTCTGGTTATTGCAGGCAAAAACATTAAATAACATAAGTTTTCATTAGTTCTGCTACTCACAGAGCATGTATTTTATAGAGATGGGTTGGTTTGGTGGTTTTTTTAACTCCGTGTGTTGTGCTGTTTGCAGTATTTGACTGGAAGGTGGGAAGTGTGAGTGCCTGTAATTTTGCCCACTGTCTTTCTCCCTTCAGAAAGGAGAGTTCGTAGGCCATGCCAAAGTTTTTCCTGTAAAAGCTAATAGTAAACTGTCTGCTGGTCTCTTAACAGCAGTGATTTCAAATTCTACAAAGTGGGTTATCACACCCAAATGCATTGGTCTGTGCATTAGGCTTCTCACCCCCTAATCCAGCTGTGCACCACTCTTCTAGTGCTTACAGAGAAAACACTGAGTAGACTAGAAGTCAAAGAATTCTTACACTCACCAGTGATGAGGGAGCTACATTTTGAAAAAGAGAAGAAAAATCCTTATTATACAAAACACATTTTGCATCTTAATTTAGTAATCTGAGATTAGAAATATTAGAGATACACCCCCAAAATGTCAATTGTCTTTGCTTTATGCAATAAAAATAAATGTTTTCATAGCTGAATAACAAGCTTAATAGGTAGCTCTAAGAATTTCATTTGCCATTTTTTTCTCACTGTGCATTTCCATATTTTCTAGCACTCTTCTGTAACTACAAGAAAAGCAAAATTATGCCATAATTTAAACAGTAAGACTCAAATTCCTCACCCGTTACATGCATCTATGTCTCTTTTCCCAGACCATTGGCACTTTGCAAAATATCTGGTCCAACATTCTCTCAAAAAGAGGATGAGTTGTGTTGAATTACAAGTCTTCCATCTGACTGTTTTGTAATTCAGTCTTTCGAATTTAATGACCCAATATCTATCTTAAATTGTAAAAGGTGTAAGTCTGCATGTATAATTAGAAAAATACTAATAATTAAGTTTTGGATTCTTTTTGTTTTATTGGTTTTTCTTTTAGCTGTACAAGGATCCAGTCTCATCTTTAGAACTGTGGAAGTTACTTTACATAAAGAGGGGAACACTTTTGGATTTGTAATAAGAGGTGAGTTACTGTTGAGTTTGAACCCTTTGTATTATCTAAATAAGCAAAAAAGTGATAATTTTTTATGATACTCAGAAATACGTAAGGATTTATGGCTTAAAGTTTCTTAAAGTCAAAGTATTACCTTTTCCATACCTTCATGTACTGCTTTTATGAACTGCTCTAATTTTTGATTATGGAAGAACATTAATTAATAAACTATTTGAAGAAAACATGATAAACTTCATTTCACATAAGACCAGATTCTGCTACATACCTTCTGCTACCTGAAATCAGCAGAAAGGTCATATTTCTTAAAAAAGATTTACATGTAGTATTTGTATAAATTAGGCAGGAAATCTGATTAATCATGATGATAGTCTGAATTGTACAACTAAAATATTATCACTGACTTAAGAGAACAGAAGAAAATATAGAACTGTTAAATAATGTACCCCAATGACGCATTATCAGTTTCTTCAGGGAAAACCTTTTTTTAATTATACGTGAATTCCCTAGCGGCCACTCATTCTGAGTATACGTAAAATAAGGGTGTTCTTTTTCTCTGTGCTGTAAACAGTACAGAACAGTAAGTGTTCACACTGAGATCAGATTTGCAGAGTAAAAGTTCTAAGAAAAAAATATATGTTTATTAAGAATCACTCCATAGAAATGTTTTTTAAAGATTCATCTCTACATAGATTAAGTTGATTTTATTTAAGTTTAAATTCAGAGGAGGGTGATATTAATAGTTTGGCCATTTTTTGATCTTTTTAGCCCATCTGTAAAGGTTCATGCTGCAAGATTTAGGTTTGCCTCTTGGAAATGAGCTTTCATAAAAGCCATAAAATGAAGGTGTATGTTCTCTCACTTTTTCCTTTCTAGGTGGAGCACATGATGACAGAAATAAATCTCGTCCTGTTGTAATAACATGCGTTAGACCTGGAGGGCCTGCTGACAGGTACACTTCATCTTTCTCTGTAGTACATGTGAAAGAGAAATGGAGAAAGGTGAATTATTTGGGACACAAGTTAAGATTTGGAGTGAAATAGATGTATTCAAACTCAGTCCTTTGAAATTCATGTTTTAGCCTTTAATTGTTGTAATAATAATAATAATAATAACAAGAACAGTAATGGGCAACCACAGAGGCTCAGCGTGCCATGGTATGTATGAACTTTAATTTAGAATCTTGCACATCAGACTTTCTCATTAAATGCTTTCAAAAATTAACCCAAAATAATTAGAACAAATGCCTGCAATAGATCAGAGCACATTTTTTTGCATCCTTCAGACAAATGGTGTAGCTCTTAATTATGCTTTTTATACTCTAACACTACCATCTTTTTCTCTTACACTGTCTTGTGTTTGAGTGTTGTTGCATTATTCTGTTAAGATATTTGTACATATCTGCATGTGAGTTCACACATAACGTTGCCTGGGCAACTTCTGTGTACAGATTTATGTTTTGGACATATTTGTATGTAATACCATTTTATATTTATCTCACTTTATTTCTGTGTCCAAACTATATTTTCAAAAATGGCACTCATGTCCTTAAAACACTCAAGAAACTCAAAGGGCAGTTTCTGTAAAGCAGACTGATGTTCTGTAGCCTGTGTTGACATTTTTGACATTGGAAATGTTAATTGAGAAGAAAATGTTTCAAGAGAGCCTCTCTTTTGTTCCATGGCTTTCTTCTCTCCATCATCCTTGTTTTTCTCCATGATTCTTAAGCTGACAGTGTTAGTACTTCATTTTCTATTATAATTCTGAATAGATTATGTAATACTTTAGAGCCAAATTATTTTTGGGTAGGAAGAAAAGAAAAATGGAATTATCCAAGTAAGAGATATTTTAAAAGAAAATGAATGGACATTCATGTTTTGCAATCTGTTTCTGCACTCGTGTTTGCACCTCATGTTTGTTATTAAGAAAATATTGGAGGAAGAGATGTTTGTGTACGTATGAAAAAAGAGTTGTGTGGACAAGGCAGAAAGCAAACATATGTTGGAGCAGACGCTATACTTAGTTGCAATTTAATGTGACTTGATTATTTCGCTATGTAGTAAGCTGTTTTCCAGTCACTGACTTTCCAATTAAAGCAATTTCCTTTCCACTGCGCCCTCTGAACATTCTCACTGTCAAAATAAATGTTAAGTGTTAAGGCACGAGGGATGGATGTCAGGGAGGGTTCTAGAGAATTGCTTTGCATAAAGATGGTATTATCTCCAAATCAATTTTTCTTATATTAACAAAGATCATTCCTTTAATGTCCCATCAGAGAGGGCACAATCAAACCTGGGGACAGGCTGCTGAGTGTTGATGGGATCCGACTGTTGGGAACAACACATGCTGAAGCTATGAGTATTCTCAAACAATGCGGGCAGGAGGCGACTCTGCTGGTTGAATATGATGTCTCAGTGATGGGTAAGTTGAGAAGTGGGGCTTTAATTCTGGAAGCCATCTGTGATGTTTTGCTGCCTGTTCTTGATGAGCTATTTTAGAAGCGATTGTGACCTGTTATGCTTCTAGTAGCACTGCTATTCCCTTCCGCATCGTGTCATTAATCTCGGGTTCAGAAGGAGGTGAGCGGTATTTCACTGTAATTTAGCATTCTGACATTTCGTGGTTTGTAGAGTGAAACCATAGTGTGGATTCTAGCAAAGTAACTTTTCCAGTGACTAGTTTATAATAAAGGTTAATGAAGTGTAAGCATTTCTATGTCACATGAAAGAGGGAGTATACTTGCTCTAACAAGAATTCTTTTGCCTTTTGCCAGTGCTGCTAGATGGCCGAGACATAATTAAAAAGTCATAAGACTGCCACATAGAAAAGAATAAGGAAGAGAAAATTTGTTAAGAAATGCAGAGGTGACAAACCACAGCTTGAAAAATGAGCTTACACTTTATACAAACTTTTATTGAACTCACTGAAAATGTGGAAGATTTCTCTGGAAAGTCAAGTAGAGAAGGTGATTTTTAACGAGAGATTTGGGATTGAGTTGTTTCCACTTGTTTTGGAAGTTGTCATATCCCCTCCGTTTTTACAAGATACAGAAAATTCATGGCAGCAAGAAATAGAAATACTCACCAGTCAGACTAAAATATTTCTTCTCTGTTTTGGGATCCTTCTCTTTTTTTCCTCTTCATCTCCACATCAGGTTTCTAACCTAGCAGTAAAGCAGCGTCCTAGGGATTTGCGAAATAGCACTGTCAAACTTCAAAGTCTTGGAAAAGATTAATGCTGTAAAGAATAATGTCAGGTATTTGTTTATTCTGAAACAGCCCTCTATTCTTCTCTAAGACACAGATTTTTTTTTTTATTACAATATACATCTCTGTTTACTTAACTACGAAGAATTGAAGTGGCAGGTTTGTCTGGTGTCTGGCAGGCCTAATGGACAGTTGTACAGGTCCAGAAAGGTGGAGACAGCTCAGACGAGCTCTGGTTCCTGATAAGAACTAGAATTTAGGTGTTTTCATTTGTTTGTTCTTTAGAAAATGACGGATGACCAAACCCTGTCTATCATCACAGTTAAACAAGATTCTTTATACTCTACTTTCTCTAAAAGTGAGATCTCACTGAAAAATGAAGCCCTGGCTTTAGACAAAGTTCCCAGTGAACTTTCATTTCAGAGAAAACTCCCATCCCCATTCTTTTGTATACCCAAAGGAGAGAGTCAGCCTCCATTTCACCAAGGATCTTTCAGAAATCTTTGCAGGTTTTTGTGAGAAGACCACATGATAAAAAGCTTTGTTGTGTTCTAAATTGCAGCTTGTTCAAGGCAGGAACCTTTCTTCAGTGTTGTCTGGATAGAGCTCAGTGCATGAGCATGCAGAACTTAGTTTGAAGTTTCAGGTTTATAAATGTAAAGGTAACACCTACCAGTTGGTCTCTCCCTGTCATTTTCTCTCTGAATAAACTCTCTTTTGTTCTCAGCAACAAATCTGGATTTATCATGCCTGCCTTCCTGGCAATGAATGTGTTATTCTATGGAAATTTAAGGTGGTAGAAGAATCTGAGACTTGTGGAGTCAAAAGGAAGGAAGGAAAAGGGAATCAAACACTGGGAAATATATGGGATTGCAGTCCAGCAGAGTTTGCAAGAAGAAATAAGGAGGAATCCAGTAGACTGGCTTTCTAATGCATTATGATTTTTTTAGATTTTACCTCGTCCTAGTAGATTTTGATTTTTTTTCCAATTTGTCTATCCTGCATAGTTTTCCAACAGTAGTGTGAACCAAGAAAATTGTTGGAAAGCTCTCTTCACTTTTTGCAGTTACATTATGACCGTGGTGCAAAGGCTGAAAATCATTCATCCTAATCCATTGATTCCTGGCCCAGGAAAACTTTGCTGATTTGATTCTTCTCTTAGTTCTGCTCAAGAGCAGTGAAGTCAGTTATGAGTAACATAAAAGGGAAGAAGGACATGACCCATGAAGAAAAATTTAAGAATTGCAGAAATGTTACTAGGTTCCTCAACTCTTATGTTACCCACAAACTATTTGTAATGCTAAGGGTTGACATGAATTTGATAATAGGCTAAAAGAAGAGAAAGGTCATTGAGTAAGGTCACTTATCAATAACTGATGCTTGAAACTAGATTAGTAGGTTAGCTTGCTTGGGTTGGGGGCAGTAATCCAAAAATTACATAAAAGTCTGGTGTATTCTGTAGGATCCTCCTGGTATAAACTTGCGGTAGAATATATTACTCCCAGAGATATAATTATAGCATTATTTGCTTTAATATCCTCTCTTCTGTTAGTGGATGGTTATATCCTCTAAAGTAGCACTGTGTGTGGCCAGAACTGGAAAGAGCCATAAAATACATTCTGATAGCGTGAAATTGGAACTTGAGTTGAAAAGGTTAAACTAGATGAAGAAAATAATCTTGAACTGTTTTTCAGCTACAGTCCTGTAGTGTGTAACTGACTTTTCTTACTCCTGTAAGCATAAGCTGTTTCAGAGGTGCTATATTTCTCAAAGTTTAGTTCCTTTGCCTTAAGTCTTCAAGAGGTCACTTGGGAAGCTTGTACATTTTATTGTTTCTGGAACCTAGGCAAACTGGAGTAAAAAAGGCATCAAAGGGTTCTGTGCAGGGTAATCAAGTGTGTATATAATGTAGATGTGGCTATTCTGGTTGAACTCTCTGGGGTTACACTTGTGCTTGCTTAAGTACCTCCTGAACAATCTTGCTCAGCTGAGTCCTAGGAAATAAACGTGTCAGTTCAGCTTCTTGGAAGAGATTTTTTTTTTAAACTCTGATGAAAATGTTTCCAGGTTGGTGTGGGCAGTGTACTGCTGTGTAGTTTCAAAGAGACTTTGAAATAATAGTAGTTTGGAAATACCAAGATAATCTCTAAAGAAAATAAGAGCACATAATTTCTGAGAAAATAATTTGTAGCCTGATAAAAATTACATTTGAAGTTGTGGAGGTTGCAGTCTTTCAAATGTTTTTTTTTCCAAAATACCTCCTGCACTTCAGTGTTTGCAGAGGAGATGGATATGGTGACTTGCTCTGCACCCAGCTGTGTGGAAGTAACAATATCTGTGTGGGCTTTATCACTTTTCTGTGTAATCCTTACACCTAAATTGTCCAACCTTTCTGGTCATATGCATCATCTATTTTCATCTAGTAGTGGGAGAGGTCTGAATAGTACAACTTCTCTGTGCTCTGTGATTACACCTGTGCCCCTCATTTTGGGGAGGAGGAATAGAGGCAAGGTGGTGGCTAGCAGTGACTTGCTATGACTGTCAAAATAATTTTGCAACCTGAATCTTCTCTTGTGGCAACCAAATAGCCAATATTAATCCCCAGCTATAAACTTAATTTGGGAAGACTTGAAGTTCTTACTGTTTGGCAGCAGTCGGGATGAAGTATCCTAATGAGTTGCTAGAGTTGGAGTGAGAGTGAAAATTAGAATGCAACGTTAATAATGAACTACAAACAGAGGTTCTCAATACCCCTGTCTAAAACAAGAAATAAAAGTTATCACTACATTGAAGCTGAGCAGATGCAGTTTCCTTTCAGGTTTTCCAAGATTTGCCATAATGCCACTTGGCTCTGTGTTGTCTCTATAATTGAGGTTGCGCCTGCTTGGGTAGTATTCCATAATAACTCTGAAAGGGAGCATTCAGACAAGTTCAAAGGTAATGGCTACCTTCGGTTGAAATTCTGGCCCATAACATTTTTATGTAACTCTGGTTTCATAAGTTGATGATGATGAGCTTTTGAGCAACCTACTTTTTAATTCTTGGATGTTCCTGCTGGGGTAAACTTTGAATCAAGGATATTGTAGTTAAACAAAACTCATATCTTTTGCCAGGACTTTGGTACAAAAGGAAGCTTTTTTTAGCTGTCTGCACCTGTGACACACAACATCTTTCTCTCTCATCTATTTACTGGGTTAGTTCAAACCACTCTGTGCTCTTCAGGAATGAAGGAACATATTGCATGTTCAAATTCCATATGTTTCTCTGGCTTCTTTAACAGTTCTTGCACTTACTTGAGCCAGAATAGATTTGCTGGAACGTGGCACCCTGTAATTGCTCTACACGAAACGGATACAGTCAGCTTATTTTTTTGTCCAGGTCTACCAGAGTCACTCTGGCATAGAACTGGTCGATTTTAACTAGAGCAACACCCTCAATTTTCTGAACTCAATGTTTAACACTGATAGAACTTTCTATAAAGGGGATTATTAATGCAGTCATTTACTAGTAAATCTTTAACAAACCCCATCTAAGCTGTTTGCTTCTTTAAGTTCACCCATTTAAATACTTACATAAATTCATTAATGCTGTAACAATCTTTTGAGAAGACATTTAAAGAAATCTAACTCTCCTTTCAATAATTCTGCCTGACAAAAAGATCACTAGAGAGAGATAACTTGCATGATTTAAAGATCATGTGAGGTAATCTGTGGTCTAGTGTAGACTTTAAGTAATTTTTGCAGGACAAAAAATAGAGAAGAAAAAAAAACTTATGGGCTGCTGCTTACGTTTCATAAAGCAGTATCACTCAAGAGTATCCAGAGCTGTGGAGACCCTTAAGAGCTATGGAGTTTTACAAGCCCAAAGGAACAGGAGCTCCAGAGACTCCAAGGACAGATTCCAGATCCTCATAAGCCTTATAAATGTTGCAAGACCTTGAAAGTTGAAGGAAAGTCAGGAAGCCTGTAGGATTGCACACTGCCTTTTTATTTCTGTTTCTTTATAAACTTAAAATTAACATTTCCTTTGTCTCTCACAAGTTTTTGACAGAACAGATAGGTAGAGTACTCTAGCATTTGTCTGCAGCTGCAGGTCTCCTGGCTGTCACAGAGGAACAGGCTTAGATCCCTTGAAATTCAAAATATGAATTAGTTGCTTAAACCTTTAAAGAACATTTCTTGTCTTATGTTGTTTCAGAGACAGATTGAATGAAAA